GTATTGTGAGCATCTTTCTTCAATATTATCATTCTTCACATCATCCAATGAAATTTTGTTGTAGGAAGCTAATGAATGAGCGGGTATACCAGTTGATAATTTAAAACTTGAGTCAGTTGTATAAGATCTTGCCCATTCTGCTATATTAACAACAAACTCTTTTTTTGTCCCATGATTTATTTGCCAATATTTCATTGATTTGTCAAAATTTTGTTGACCGGTGGTGACTGATTCTTTTAAAAGCCTTGGTGACAATAATGCTTGTGCAATAAATTTTCGATTATATCGCCATGCTGGGTAGTCATTATTAAATGCCACACCAGTGTTAAGCTTGTATTCATGAAGTGAACCTAATTCAGGCCTATTAAAAAATTTGTTTCTTGGTGAATTATTAAGAACTTTTTCAACCTCCTTTGGATCAGATACAACAATACATCGTTGTGTCATAAGGTAAATCTCGAATGCATTGCCATATTGCTTTGTTGCTTTTGACAAAGCCTTCGACATCCCTAATCCAAAAAGATGTATATTACCAATAAGTGGTAACGGTATAGGTCCATTGAGAGGATTTGTACGAGTAAAATATTTATAATAAAATCTTACAACGTACAAAACAAAAACAACAAGTAAAATTTTAACCCATTCAAGATTTAAAATAATATCACTACTCGTAATAATTTTTTGAAAAATTTTTAATAAATTCATTTAGAAAGATTTATTTTGAAGGTTGTTTTAATGAAAAAAATCTAATTATTTATGAATACAATCAATATCGTTTGAAATAAACCCTGTATGTATTAATATAGGATCGGGGAAAACTCTATTGAATGTGACCGCCAATATTATGATTTGAAAGTACTTTAAAAAAAAAAATGTAACCGTCCACCATAGATTCGCATTAATAGAAAATGGAAAAGGTCACCACCGCCTTTATTATTATAATTATGTTAATATTGGAATAAAATTCTGATTGGCTAATTTTAATTTCACATACAACTTTTATTGATCTTGCAGATCCTTTAACTCCAAAATGGAAATGCGTGTCCAAAAAACAAGATGTAATTTTAGACCTTTCTTTACAAAGTTACATCTTCATTTTTGTTGATATGTCATTGTTGTGAGGAATTAAGCACAAGTTTAACAAATTTACGTTAACCCCCCAAAGTGACGTGTTACACGCAAATTTTTTTTATACTAAATGGGAAAAATTGAAATTTTGAAATTATATCTTTTATTACATGATAACGGCAAGAAAAAAAACTGAAAACTATATTTATTATGAAAATTTTCCTTTTTTCTAATATATTAATTGTTACATACTTATATTATCTTAGTTATATATATTTTTTAACGATGTAGTCTTGTTGTGACATTTTATTAATTTAATTGATTTGATATGCAAAACATAAAAAAATTTTTTAAATCATTTATGATGCACAGCTTCCCTCCGTTTTACCATAAATGATATTCATTTGGAGTGACTTGGCATCATAATTATCCATATGTATATATTATCTGAATAAAATTCCACACTTGATAATCTTCACAAACACATGACAATAAAATTTTTATTTCTCAAAAACTGTCGCTGTGGCGCAGAAAGTTGTAGTGACTAGGTGTTATGCACTATATATAAACAGATTCGCGAGAAATGAAAAATGGCAAAAAAATCTACCTCTATTATTATTTTATCCAAAAAAAAAACGAAAAGTCAAGATAGTAATAGTAAAAATAGTAAAAGAATTCCTTATGCCAACAACATTTTGCTATATACCGTAACTTTCAAGAATTTATCAATGCTAAAAAAAAGTTATTTGCAAATGTGATCAAATTATTTCATTTGGAATCAATTGTCAAGTTGCAAACTTTAAAAGACATTCTGAGAGTAACGATGGGATTTTTAGATATATTCCTGTTAAGGTTTATCTTCCAATATCACAATGGTATTTTTCACGAGAAGTAGTTTTTTTTGGAATACGTTTTTACCCTAATATAAATGACATTAATCCTCGTTTGGTTTTAAACTATGATTCTTAATATGATTTGTCATTAATTTGGCTGTCCGGTCCTATTAACATTCCAATAAGATAAATTAATTGATCAGCATTTTTATTGGGGCAATGTATGAATAAAAAATAAATCATCTTACTGATACAAATAATTTCTTTGTATGTAAAAATAATAAAGCTAGCATCTAATTAAATTAGCAAATGCCAATCTCACATAAGTTAATACCTATCAAGAAATTTCAACGATGGCAACTAAAATTTGAGGTCTGGAATAATATTCTATGAAATTTTTTTCCTAAATAAATCTTATGATTGGTTGATTGCATCCTATTTAAAACTTCGCTAATATTTGTTCCACTAACAAACTAATTGTTATCTCTGGGATTTTGTATTATTTTATTGCAAAAATGGCACCTTTACCTGAAAGACCCAATATATAAACACTCATGAATCCAATTTTTTGTAATAATAGGTTTTACATGCGAAGTTTTTTGATTAAATAAAAATTATATGATAATTACATACTTTGAAAAAACCGTAACTTTTCACCAATGGTGCAACAAAATAGTAATTTGTACTGCTGGCTCCGTAAGTAAACAATTTCTCAATTATAATGAATTACTATGGTGCACATCATCCATTTAAAGACACCTAATCGGACATTTTCAGTAGGCTTATCCTATTCTGGGGAAGTAGGATAAGTCGATACGAGACAAATTCTGACGGAAAATTCGCTAATACTAATACTAAATTCACTGTGGTAGTGGTTAAATTTTCCCGGACGAGATAGCAGTGATTTCACTATGAAAACTAAATTTGGCCACTTCTCTTTTTAGAAGATCTCCCAAATTATGCGACCAAGTAAAATTCCACTAGTACTAGTACTGTCAAACGGATGCATGAGACCAGTCAAAAAAATCCGTTGAGGCTATTACAAGAAATCCGTTATGGCAAAATTGGTGATGATGTGTAAATAGCATTGTTGGAAAGCCTTTCAATCTATAAAATCAAAGCTCCTTCGATATCAGCAAACAGAGTGACATATAGTCTTTTAATTTTGCTTGATGAGAATTTCAGTCAATTTTAAGCTATTTAGCAGAATCTTTTAATATAAGTTCAGATTTGCTATATATAATTCGCGTTTTTGTTCTGCAGTAATATATATACGTTTTTTGGATGAAGATAATTGTTGAGACATTTTTAATGAGAATTTTTTTTGTGTAATATATATAGTATTGTTTAAATTTAATAATAACAAAATTTCACCTTAATGGATTTTTAATGTTAATAATCTGTTAACAATTCAGGTTGTAACACTAATATAAATGAACACAAAATGCCATTTGACTTAGAGTTCAAATAATTAGAGAGATAAATGTTTGGCAACTATTAAGTTAATTATGACAACTATGAAAAACTAATTATGGCATTACATAATGGAAACAATCATTTATTTAAGAGAAGGGCGATATAAATTATTCCAGAACCGATTTCCAAATTTGGTAATTGGTGATGATCAACAAAAAATTTAGCCAATGAAATCAAATGTCCGAACATGTGAATATTTTCTTTTTTCAAAATAAAATTTGTAAATGTCTTCGTTACTACTTTCACACGAAGAAAGGTGTAGAGGACCTTGGGTAAAGCTACCCTCAGAAACAAGTAAATAGTAAAAGATGATTTATAATGTTCTATTATTTATCAAATTATATAAATTACCATTGTTTATATGTACATATATACAAAAAGGAATTTTTACTTCATTATTTGACGAGTTGGGAATTGAGGGATTATCAGTACATGAAGTTTTTATGATGGATGAAAATGTTAAATTTGATCATCTTGGGTAAATATAATTTTTTTGAAAATTATTAGAAATAATTTTTATAATCAATCAAAAAATCAAAAAATCAATCAATTTATTAATGATGATTATTATTATTATCAAGTGATATTGTGGGTTTCGTGTTTTTATTCAAGTTGAATGATGATTTAAAAAATCAACACAAAGAAAAGAACGTAAAATCATCTGAAAAGTCACCAAAGAATGTTTTTTTTGCAAATCAAGTAAATTATTATATTGCTATGATTATTACTATGATTATTATTCACAGGTCAAAAAAGGGTAAATCAGTATAGCCTGTTTGTTACTTTTGGTAGTCAAATGGCACCAGTCAGCTAAAAATCAGAAACACAATTAATAGCATATACTGATTTTTAGCTGACTGATGCCATTCAGTAGCAAAACTGAATTATCTTTTCTTGACCAATATGATTAATTACTATGATGATTAAAGCTATAATTCATTTAAACATCTACATATAGGTTTTAGATAATGCATGTGCAACATTAGCAGTCTTGAATATAGTCATGAATTGTCAAAAGTTGACTTTAAGTGATGATTTACAAAAATTTAAAGAATTCTGTTGGGACTTTTCACCAACTGTATGTATTATATTTATATTTTCCCTGAAATAATGTATATTAATTTTTTTTCTTTTTACAAAACTCCTCAAATAAAAAGATGAAAGGTTTTGCAATTACAAATGTCCCAAAATTTAGAGAAATTCATAATTCTGTTGCAAGGTATTGGATTTATTGATTTAATGAATTATGAATTTATTTATTCATTTTTATCAATTTTCAAATTTTTTTAAAAGACATCCAGAAGAAGCTTTAATAGTGGACAAAGAAGGAATCAGAAAAAATAAAAGTAAAAAGAAAAAAGAAAATGATGATGATAATAATAATAGTAATAATTCCGAAGATTATCATTATATTGCATATGTTCCTGTTGATGGAAAAATTTATCAATTAGATGGTTTATATCCTGATCCTGTCAAAATAGGTATTTAAATTAAAAAAAAAAAAAAAAAAAATGCAACAATTATGATTTTATTTGTTTATATATATATATATATATATATATATGCTATTTATTTATTGGTGAAAAAAATAAAAGGTGAATATGACGATGAATCAAAATGGTTTGATGCTGCAAAAGGTGTAATGTGTGAAAGAACAATGGGGTTTGTATTAAGGTTAAAGCTAAAATTAATAATCCCACCAAATATATTTTATTAATTGTTTATTTTAAATAATCATAATAGATTTTATGTTGAAGGAATAGAATTCGTATTATTAGCAATAACTCGAGACAAATTTCTTACTAATAATAAAGAGAGATGGGAAGATTGTTTATATATCAAAAAATTAATTGAATCAAGATTAGATCAGTTGAATAATGATTGGAAGATAATATTTATCAATGAAAACGATGTAAGTATTATTATTGTATATATATTATATATTTAATATGTGTGTTTATACATATGCATATATCTTTTTAGTTTGAAATTGAGGAAGAAGATGATGATGATTGGAATATGGCACTTGAAAGAGGAAATATTGTAAAGGAATTGGAAGAAATTAAAATAAATTATGATGATTTTGAAAAACTTTATCAAATAAGATCAAGAATAATGAATGAACTTGTTTATATAGAAGAAGAAATATTAAGAGAGACTAAAATAAAAGAAGTATACATATATTATTATATTTTTTTATAACAATATACATATTGTATATTTATTTTATTTATCTATTTATTTAGATTCAAAAAATCCGCCGAAAATGGGATTATGGTTCATTTTTTCGTGAATTTTTTTCAATATTACATGAACATCAAATGCTTGAACAAACACTTGATATAGCTATGGTTGATGATCATGATAATAACTATGCTAATAGATCTGAATCTAATAAAGTTGTTGATGATGAGGAGGAGGATGAGGATTATGAAGAATAGAAAAAGAGAAAGAAAAAAAAGATTGTATATAAATCATATAAATAATATATATTAGAAAACTCGCATATTCTCATTTATTTCAATTTTAAAAAAAAAAATTTTTTATGTTTATACCTTCATTTGATACAATATCGGGCTGATGTCGGGATCATATATTTCAAAAAAGATTCAATTTGTTAATTAGCAAAGTCATCAATTAAAAAATCTTATAATATACTCGGAGAAATATATAAATTTATCTGCTTTTACATGAGAAGTTTGTGTTTGGTTTATTATAAAAAATACAATGAGGAAAAAATTTGCATGCATATTAAATTTGAATTAATGAATTTAATTGATTGATTAGTATTGTGTTAAACCCATCGATTTTAACACTCACAAGCAATTACAATACTATCTAGTTTTTCATTTATGAAATTTATTCTTTACTCGATTAATCAGTCGATTAATTATAGTGCAAAACATCAAATGCTGTGCCGAGTACTATAAAAAACACATGACTCAGTTTGCATTAATTAGCCAATCATATTATTATTATGTTATGTTTATTATTTATCCGTTGCTATTACATATAATGCAAGACACTTAATCCCTACAACTTTCTACGCCACAGTGCCAGTTTTTGAGAAAAAATTTTTCGTCAACAATCATTTCGTCGACACCCATTTCGTCGAAAGTCTGTTTCATCGAATGTTCATTTCGTCGAAAATTATTTCATCCTCGAGCCAGAGACCGAACGAGTTAGATGTGAGGAGTGTGGGAAGTTAGTTAAGAAATTAGGTGAGGAAAGCGGAGTGTGTGGGAAGTGTGAGGAGAAATTTGTTTAATGAAGTTTTTTTTTGTGACGAAATAATTTTCGACGAAATGAAACAAACTTTCGGCGAAATGGTGTCGGCGAAATGATTGTCGACGAAATGATTGTCGACGAAATGAATCAGACCCATTTTCTTATTAGACTTGTTAATAATGAATAAGGTGCTTCTATCTATCACCATTAAATGATGAAAATGAATGATGAGAAGGTTGAAATTTTGAAAACTTACAAAATAAGGTTCAATTGATTTTACATCTAATGCTTTGGCCTTGTTATTATTTAATTGGTAAAGCACTATCCAAATGGCTCTAGCAATTAGATCTGTATGTAGAAAGTGCATATCATACTGAAGGCAAGTGAGTACCATACTGAAGAAAGGGAAAAAAATGGTTATGTAGAAAGTGCGTACTGTACCAGGGAAGGGGTATTGGTAATATGGAATTTACATGTTGAACTTGTAATTTTTTTTAGTACGGTACTCACTTGCCTTCAGTATGGTACGCATTTTCTATATATTCCAGTTGGATTTTGAGGTTTGGAAACAGATAAAGTTACACGAGTAAAATTTTCTTTTTTTGATCAAAAAAATGAATTTAAATCAATTTCGAAGATTAATTATTCTCACGACAAAAAAATTACCTAAATGTAATCATTATCATCATTATCATCATCATTATAATAATAATATTAAAATTATTAATATTAATAAAAATAAAAATATATTACTGAATAAAATAATTACAATCCATAATAACAATTTATTATTGTTTAAAAGAACTTATGTAATATCAAGTAAAAATCCAAATGAAGCTTCTGTATCATATGAAAATGAAAAGGATAAAAACAAAGATGAAAAGAATAATGAAAGAGAAGAAGATATAATAGAGATGGTAGATGTAGAAGGAAATGATGATAAAGTTGAAGTTGAGCATATTGATAAATCATTATATCCAGAATTATTTCCAGAAAACAATGAATTAAATGAATTAAGTGACGAAGATGGAAATAATGAAGATGTAAAAGATGCCAGGGAAGAAGATTTTACATGGTTTGTTGATCCTAAATATGAGAATCCTCAAGAAAATGCTGTCGATGATGAAGATTTTATACCAATGTGGCAGCGTAAAGCATCTGTAGTTGTTTCAGATCTGTCATCAGCAACATCAAAATTTGAAGGGGAAGGAGGAAAACATTTGGAAATGGTGAAATATTTAGAAGATGAAGGCATTGAAAATATTACAATTATTGATGTTAGTAAGAAATCTGATTTTGCAGATTGGATGATAATTGGCGAAGGAAAAAGTTCAAGGCATATGGGTGGCGCAGTTGATGGGTTATATAAAATGGTAATTATAATTTCTACTTGAAAAAGAGGAGCATTTGATATACATAAACACATTTATATACATATGTCTTCATATTTTTATATCTTTACATATGTGTCTAGTTGAAAGATAATATAAAGAAACAAAATTTAGATGCGTCCAATTCACTAAGTTATCCGATAGTGGAAGGAAGAGATTCAGATGAATGGATGTTGATTTATACAGAAACAATATTTGTACATTTATTCACACCTGAAGAAAGAAAATATCGTAATTTAGAAAAATTATGGGAATCAATTCCCTCATATAATGATCTTAGTGATCGTGATAAAAGGATAAGCACTACCAAAGATATTGTGAAAGGGTTTAAAGGATTCAATCCAAAATTCAGTAGAAGACCTCAACTTATTGGGCTTAAAGACTGAGTGAATAAATGATTGATTGATTGGTTAATATATTAGTATTGATTAGTTATTAGATTAGCAAATTACAGTCAGAACTCATTAAACCAAAGTCAATGTTTTTAAAAAAAAAATCTTCGGTTTAGTATAATCAGCCTATAGAGATAAATTTAATAGGTATATAATAAAAAAACATTGGTATATTTGTTTTATCAAAGCATCATCTTAACAAGTTATGACAAAATTAGTAGATTTTAATATAATCATCCCCAGATGAGATTCAATTCTAATTTTATTAAGAATAATTTTACCACCTGAAATCTTAACTTAAATAAATATCATTATCATCGATGCCATCATAATCCATTATTGCTATATTGCTAAATAAAATAAAATATTTTATTTCAAATTAATTTGATAATTCATATTTTTGGATTAAAGAAGATATTATCAGTAAAATTTGGCACCATCAAATTCGATGCTCAATTAATCGTGGATAATGCATATTTAACTATATATTATATATAGGAAATTGGTTGAAAGGAACTTGGACTGCTTGAATTTGATGATTCAAATAATGATCTTGATTATTATGAGCCTCCCAGTTAATAGTAATGAAGATGAAAACACATTAATTAATGGTCGATGAAGTGATTGATAACAAGGGGCTGTTAAGTCACAATCTCCACAAAGTAAAAAATGAAGATAATTTTTACAATCTAGAATATTATGAATCTGTCGGTGAATATGAACTTTTAGCTAGAGGATTCAGGAACTATGACAAGAAGCATGATTTCTTTGGCTATGTGACATTTATAGATGACTTGAACCTTTTTTGTTTGAGTTTTTAGAAACGACAATCATTTGCTAGTTTTTTTTAATTCTTTTTTTGAAAAAAAAAATTCTTTTTTAGAAATCTGAGGCTTTGCAATTTTCAACCCGTTGTAAACAAATAACATTTTTTCTCCGCTTAATCACGAGAGGAGCAGAGCTAATGAAAAATCTCTGTTTTCTTAAACCTAATTTTTTGGAAAGGAATTTTTTGTTTTTGAAATTAACATACATAATATATTTACCTTTGATGATCTATTACGACGTAGATACCTTTTCCGCATGATAAACATCTTTTACTGTTTATCATGCAAATAATAAATCTTTTTTTTCCAAGCAAACAGAGATTTGGTTTTTAATGCTTGGTTAGCGTGATAAAAATCACTACTGACTGGTATGTTTTTTTTAAATTAACAAGTTTACAACCGAGAATGCAATTTAAGCCTTTTGCCCTTTATTATTATCACATTTTAGATCAAGACAATAGCCTATTTTATTAAATTCGAAATATATAAATAGAACGGCCGCTCTCACATTTTTTGCAACACCAACGTAGTAGTAGTGAGAGATATTTCAAGTTTAACCGTGAAACCAGAACCATCTCACCTTTTCAATGTACGGGAAGGGGACATACTTTGTGAACATGTGCATGCATGTCGTTTAGGCTCCAGGAGTTGATGTTTTTACTACTTGGGGAAAAGATATGTAATTCCTCAGTTCAGGTAAAATACCTAGTGACTGATCCACCTGCTATCTGCTCAAAATGTGCATTACCAATTTCAATGATTGATTTGGATGATGATGATCTCTACTGGAAAGATCTTATAGAGAAATACTTTGGGCACCCAACTGGAGAACCTTTTAAATTCATGTTATACAAAGATTATTTTGAATAATATAAGTAATATAAGATATCTTTGTCACCATTAAATTCAACAAGACAAACTATATTCTGTGATCTCCTTGGAAATTATGTTATTAAAAGGAAGAAAAAAAATATTGGTCAGATATAGAATTCTTCACATGAGGCATGGTGAATTATATTTTTACCAAAGACTTTTGTTGAATTTTCCAGTAAGAAGTGAGCAAGAGTTGATAGGATCTTACACAACTTACAGAGAGCATTATCTTGCCATATATACTGAAAATTCTTTACAGTTGTTGAACTTTGAACAGCAACATCAACATAATCAGACCATTGAAATTCTGGACCGGTATTGTGCACTTATGGAAACTCTCATGGAGACTCTTCAACCATTGTTATCCTGTGATATAAAAGAACTAATAAAACAACAACTTGAAAAAACAAAAATGGTACCTGCTGCTATTCCAAACAATCCTATGCTGTACTTGCCAAGTTGACAATACAGATGTATTCAATCAATTAGAAACTTTATGGGGAAAAGAGATCCATACCATTGTCCCTATTTTTTCATAACTGGAAGTGCAGACAGAACTGGAAAATCTTATCTAATTAATATGTTGAAAAGAATATTTACATCTTCAAGAAAAAATTTTCTCTTAATGACTCCAACAGGAATTTCAGCCCAAAATGTCAAAGGGCAAACAATTCACTCTGCATTAAACATTAGATCTAATGGTGAAAATTATCAAACATTAGTATTTGTAGATAAAGAATTTAACCTGAAATTGACATGATAATAATTGATGAAATCTCAATGGTGTCAGCATCACTGTTGACCTTCATATCTGAAATATTTTCATCAATTCACTATAATCACGAACCTTTTGGTGGCATAAATTTCATCATTATTAGAGACCCTGCACAACTTCCACTAGTAATGTATATAAGCTACCTATTTGGAGATTACTTTATCCACTCTTTCTTTGCCATTCACATCAACAAAATGATGACCCTGAATTTTACAACCTCTTACAAAATATCAGAATTGGTAATATTTCACAACAGGTTTGGCAGAAATTAGAAGAGAAGTTTCATGGTAGTATTGAGAACTCTGTAGAATCTATCTTGAACACAACACATGTTGTTGGCCTCAGAGAATATGCTGATCAAATAAATAGGACAATATGTAATCTTTTACCTGTTCTGGATAATAAAATTATAATATCCAAATCCACCAATATGTTAAGTTGTAGATTTTGATAATGACAAACTGTTTAAAAATAAAACAAACCTTCCAAACATTTTGAAAGCTCAGATTGGTGCAAGGGTTATGTTCCTCAACAACTCTTGGGTAAAACACAAAATCTGCAATGGTACCATTGGAGTAATAACTGATGTTGATGTAGAAAACATGAAAGTGAGAGTTGCTTTTTCTGTTCACTCTGGAATAGTAGATATGGATATCAAAAAACAAACATCAAATTTCTTAGTGAATGATATTCCTGCAAGTAGGGAACAATTTCCAATCAAAATGCTTTTGCATTGACAGTACATAAAACACAATCATTAACTTTACTTGACATATCACTCAGTCTCGATTCCCAAATATTTGCAGCAGGTCAAGCATATGTGTCTTTAAGTCGTTGCACTGATTGGGAGAAGGTTAAAATTAATGCATTTGCAAGGAAAGCATTTATTACTGATCAATCAATGATAGCAGAATACAAACGTTTAGAAAGAATTGCTGCCAACTCACTTTCATTTTCTGTACCTCAATAGTAATACTGTAATTGTAATAGAATTAATATTATCGTCGTTTGGCATGTAAAAACAAAATAAAAAATAATAAAATTTTGTTGTACGAATCACAAATCTCTTTATCCTGTATTTGTTGGTGACGAAGTCACCACAAATATAAATTTTGCAATATGCAGTAGATAATTCGGTCACAAGTGTAACAAAGCTTAATTGAAAAGGAAATACTGTGGGCATTTTTTCAACCATGATCGATTTGTCATTTTAAATTGGAAAGAAACAAACATGATCGAACAGTTTGTAGATTAAAGCAACGTTTCACGATTGTGTAAACATACAAAAGTTAATTCATCTTCTATTTAGTGAAACAACAACTTTCTTTTAAGAAAAAAGTTTTTTTTAAAACCATAAATAAAATAATGGACAAATTCAAAAATTATTTCAAGAAAAAAAATTTGAATGATGGTGATGATGACAATAACAACAGAAATATCCCTATCGATGATACAAATAGCAACAATAAAATTGAGTCTACTAATCATTTTAATAAAGAAGATGAATATTTCCTTGTAAGAGAAAGAAAATTTGGTGCATGTTCAACTTGTAATCAATACAATTCATCTTATTCATGGTGTCAAAAATGTGATCCACCATTATTAACTCGAGGATGGACAAGCGGTAATGAAGCATTAGACGAATTAATAAAAAGTACACAATTTAAAGCAACACGATATGAGAATCGTTATTATTTTGAATGGATTGATTATAAAAATTTAAAAGATATCAAAAAGATAGGTGAAGGTTGTTTTTCAACTATTTACAAAGCTTCTTGGATCAATGGTCTTAAATCTATAAACCAAATTAACAAACGAACTAGAAGAAATAGGATTGTTGTATTAAAAAAGTTAAAAGATATAAAAATTATTTCTGATGAATTTTTAAATGAGGCATGGTTTTTTATTTTTATAATATAGAAAAAGTAATTATTTCTAAAACTAAATTTTTTTGATTCTTAAATTTTAATTTTTTACAGGTCAAAAATTACGTTGAATTTTATAAAAGAATCAATACAGTCCATATTTTTGGATTATCACAAGATCCAATCACCAATGAATATATATTTGTGATGGAATATATGAATGATGGAAATCTTCACGATTGTTTAAAAAAGGAATTTAAAAATTTAAAATGGAAAGATAAACTAGACATTCTTTACAGTATTATTAACAGTTTAGAAAAGCTTCACGAAAAAGAAATTATTCACCGTGACCTTCATAGTGGTAATATTCTATATAAAAAGCAAAATGACTTTATCTATCCACGAATTGCAGACTTGGGATTGTCATGTCCAGCTAATCAAGATGTATTTGGGGTACTTCCATATGTTGCACCAGAAGTCTTAAGAGGTGAAGCTTACACAATTAGATCTGATATATATAGCTTTGGGGTGCTGATGACATTGATATCAGCAGGTCAACAACCGTTCAAAAATGTTCCGCATGATTCAGATCTTGCAATGGCTATTTGTGAGGGCCTAAGGCCAGGATTTTCAAAAAATACTCCTAAATTTTTTATTAGATTGGCATATAGATGCATGGATGCTAATCCTAACAAGCGTCCAAATGCTAAAGAAATTAGAAAGTCTTTTGGTTTTTGGAAAGGTGCATTTAATAAATACTTGATTAGGATGGATAGACATGATTATTATACTTTAGAACAACTCGATGAATTAAAATCAATTAGAAGAGAAATTAATGAAATGGATAGAATAAAATTTGATCCATCGACAATCACTTCAATTGTTCTTTCAAATGCCGTTTATACTAGCAAATTATTGAAATTTTCAAATCTTCCTCAACCTGTGAATACAAATAAAGTTACAATAATCGGTAATCATAATGGTAATTATTATGAATTTATTATCGATTTTTACTGTTAATCTATTGATTTTAACGTTTGAATAATCAATATCAACACTAATGCTAATAAATTATATTTATAGATTCTCGTGAAATAGATTTAACAAATGAATGAATTTCTGATGTAAAATGTATTGTAAATTTATTTATCGTTATTATTATTATAATAATGGCCGAAATATTTATTTATTTATTCATGATTATGCATTTGTTAAATTTATTTATATATTGGTTTGTTTATTACTACTACTTGAGTAAATACTTCAACAGGTTGCTCAACAATTTCCAAGTAAAATTTTTATTTCATAAATAATCAATTCATCACTTACAAATTAATATCTCAAGTATACAACGAATCTATCTACCCCGAAGGGAAAGCTGTCGAGTATTTATAATAGTAATAAATAAGGGCATTCGTAATTTAATATCATGATCGTACGACTTGAGCATTAATAATAGAAGGACACCGCCAACACTATGATTCGAAAAGTACTTTAAAATTTAAAAATGTCACCGCCCACCTTATATTCGCATTAATAAGGAAGAAAGAAAAATGTCTCTGATTCGTAATTTCGAAAGAAATCTATGCACATAATACTTTGCTGATATATGAAGTATCAGATGATATTCCATTTTATTCACAAGGTTACACATGTGGTGGACTGAAATATGAGAAACCGACTTGGCTTAAGCTCCTTTCCATGTATTTACAGTTATCCAAAGGTAAAGAATAATGGTAAGTTCTATCAACACCTACCCATGTTATTATTCCTCTTCTTAGGAAACACTTTCAAATCATTGGGCAAATATTATTTCTATTGTGCATGATAAAGATCCATCAAAACACACATTATTTAATCATGCAAACCCAATATATTTTTTTGATAAAAATTTGGAAGTTCATATTATTATACCAGAATTGATGAATTTGTTGTTCTAATGATAATATTTTCAGAGAAAAATTCCACAAGAGATAATAACATAATAGATTTTATAATAAGTTTAGCAAAAAAATCAAGTGATTTAAAAATATTAACAAGTTTAATAAATGGTCAAATTTATAATTGATTTTTCTTATCTTCTTCCAAATGAAATATTTTTAACTTTTAATTTTTTCATTGATTCTGTTAAATTATCAACTTCCATCGAATCAGAAGATTCAATGTTATTTTTACTGCTGTTGCTATTACTATTGTTATCATTACTGACATTAAGTTTCTTCGCCTTATTTTTTTCATCTTTTTCTTTTTTTTTCGATTTTTTCTTTTTAATATAATATAATTTATTTCTAATACTGAATGGAACTATTCCTGACTGAACAATCGTAAAATTAAATTTTTTGGGATAGTGATGCTTATCAATTAAATGCAATCTACGTTTCTTTGGTTCAGAGAAAAATTTTCCACAACCTTGTACAAAACATTCATACTATATAATATATGATAATAATAAGGTTAATTTAACAAAGATATTAAATATAAAATAAAATTCATTTTATATTTATAATTTAAAAAAAACTTGTAACTATTTTTTCGCCTCTTTCTTTTTTTATTTGAATTATAACATCATGATTTTCTGTTAAGTGTAGCTTCAGCCAACGTTCACTAGGAAATACTTTATCACATTCATTACAGATATGTCTATGTGATGTATTATAATGTACTTCATATGCACTGACTGAAGGAAATCTTATTGGATGAGTTTGACACCATGGTGGAAACTGGCATGTTATAGGTTTTGGGCTAAATTTTAATTATTAACAACTGAAATATTATATAATTATTTTCTTAAAAAGAAAGTACTTCTCACTTTATTATATTTACCTGAATTCCTCATGAAGTTCTTCCTTAATAATTTGTGTTTTTTCTATTTGTAATGTAGAATGTTTTTTGAGCCATTCTGAACGTGCTTCTATATTTCCAAGTGAAAAAAAAGGGTCTTCAGGTGAAAACCTTCTTTTAATTGGAAAAGTAAGCATTTGGAAAATTTTTTTAAGCCAATGAAGTTCTCTGCCAAATTTATTTTGTGCAAGTTCCTCTCTTATTGGTTTTTTAATAATTCAAAATCGAATGAAATAAGAAATATGTTATTAAAAGCTAAAATGATGATTTTAAATTTTCTTTCAAAAAGATGATGATATAATTGTTTAGTGATTAACTAGGCATTGTTTTTTCCTCTTTCGTACCTTTAATTTGACACAATGTGTGTTGATATCCATGCCGCAATCGACAAGGTTTGGATGCAAATCGGGATGTATTTCGTCAGTTACTTCCATCCAAAAAAGTCAACAGCATAGCAATTTTTGAATAAATAATTGCTATTATTATTACTATTAATTATATTAATATTAATATTAATAGAAACAAAAAATTTTCGATCCGGATGCTTTTACATGTACTTTCCTATGATCGAATTCCGTTACACGAGAATAATAACAACAGATTCTAACAAATAATCACCAAAACATTATTGATCGGGAATCTGTGTTGACGATTGACAAAGTCAAACCTTGTAAACGATGTTCGCATGTTTATAACTTCAACTATAAAAAAGTTTACGATACGTAACTGTGCCAAGAGTGAAGCCAGCATATTTACCAACAAGGAATTGTATAAAACAAATGAAAAAAGTGAAGAAAATAAGGTTTAAATATATCCAAGCAATTATGTTGAATTGATTGAAAAAAAGGTAGCTTCAAGAGTATTTTAATTTTGGCATGTGTAGCAACGAAATCAGACAAGTGAACGTTTGTAGTTGCCAAGAATTTCGAAGATCAAAATTTGGTCTTCATCGATGTAATGTGTCCCATTAGATCCATTCTTATATAAAAACAATTAATACGAGACTCATTTACATCAAATCCACCATGGAATCCAAGAATTATTGTAAAATGAAAAGTATTTTGAAAAAGGAACAATGTCCCTTATGTTTTCGAAGCTTATCTAATATTAAGGAAAGGAAAAAATACCTATGAAATTTACCAAGAGGAAAAAAAAATCATAACTAATAAAAAAAACATCAATGATGAAGCTAGAAAGAAAAGAAAATCAGAAGAAAAATAATTTACTACATAACTCGGATTAATTATCAGTATAGGTGAATATGTATATTAACACATCAGAAAGAACAGTTGTCACATGACAACAGTTAATATTATTAATTCATTCCTTGATTTTTTTTCTTTTTTCTTTTTTTTTCTTTCTTCCTAACAGATAGGCAAAAATTACTATCATTACTATCAGCACTATTATTTCTCCTCCAAAAATATAAGGTAAGTAATTATTAGTTGGGCTTGATTGAAAATATTTCTTTGTTCAGCAATAATTTGAGCCAGTTCTGATCTTTCCAGAGAATTTTTGTTAATAATTAATTGATGAATGAATGAGTGTGGTAAATGACGACATTTAAAATTTTTTTGAATGTTTCGTTATTGATTTTAGATGATGGTGGTGGTGAATCAAATCTACAAAAAACACACTGTGATAATAATAATTATCATTCTTAATATTAATTGATCTGAAATTTTATGTTAAACAAAAAAATTAATACATTAATAATTTTTTGGCAGAAATTTTACGCAAAGTGAGCTTTTTACATATATTCCCAGATTTTTTTATCGCTTGGTAGTTTTAAATCCTGTCATTCATTACACGTGACAGTTAGCTAGACAGCTAGCTATTTATAAGAACAATTTCTCTGAAAAAAAAAAATAATAACATACACTCCAAACAATGGAACACCTGCGGTTTTTAGTAGTATATTCGGTGTGGAATTCGTCGTTTTTTGCATTCTTATAAGAGATTGGAATCGGTCAAAGAAATCTTTAGTAACTATTAATTGGTCAAATTTTTTTTGTTGACTAAATAGTCGATTGTTTTAGTCGATTATTCCTGAAAATTTTTTAAAAAATACCGCGTTACCTTAACTCCCTTTTTTCTTTTCCTCCAAAGTAAATAAATTATTATATCAGAAGTACTCATCAATTCATACGTAAAATTATCATCAACGAAACCATCATCATTGAATCGTCGTTATTATAATTAACACTTATAAAAGATTGCTCAAATCCCGTAACACTGCTTTTTTCCTTACTTAGGATAGATTGAATGGTTTTGGTTTTGATCTACTATTTTTTTTTCTTTTGTAATAAATTAAATTTGTTGGTGAAGTGATTGTTGACAAAATGAATCTATTTCTACATTATCAAATTCACAATTTTAATTGGTCAATCAACAATTGCGTGGGTTAAAATTTTGTGTTCCCAGAATGGTCTCTCTGCTCACTTGAGCATAATGGAAATTTGAAATGTTGCACTAATTTTTTATATTGTGCAACGTAGCTTTACAATACACGGCAAACATTCTGATAAACTGGATTTGAATTTGATCCGAACTTGATCTCCAATTTAGAGAGGTAACAACTATACACTGGCGAAGTTTC